TTCTTGTGGGTCATAATGAAATATTTGTGACAAGCCATGTTTAAAATACCAAAGACATAGAACAGGTCCATCTTTTAACTTTAAATTGACATTTTTGCAAATAACTACAGATTTTAAACGGTTAAGACAGTTGCTTCCACCCATCTCTTTGTGTTTGCCCTATTTCTAGTTGGTCCATAGGCGTCGCAACCATTATATGTGAAGGGGACATGTCCCCCCACATTCAAAAAACTTTCAATTGGACGACCCCCCCCCCCACCCACCACGCACACACACACCACACACACACACACATTTACCATGAAACATTAGTTCAGTCGGTGCGGTTTCTATTTCTTCGTGAACTAATCCATTCCACTTGATTAATAGGGGAATACTAAAACCACTAAAGTCCACACCAGGTTTTGCTGGTTACCTACAATTCTCAATTCTCCAGCAAAAGCGGTGTGTCTTGCATAGTTGCTAAGTCCGCTTATTATAAGCAACTTAGGGTTTTTTTTTTTTCTAAAGTTGCTTGCAAGTCTTGTGAGTTGCGGTTTGCAGATTTTTGGGCTTGTTTTGAACGTGAAGTTGCTTATTTGGGCTTGACTTTCTTTCCGAGTGAAACTAGTTGATTATCTCCCAGCTCTGCACAATAAAACAAAAGACGGGTGGTAATAAGTAGTTTGTCCCTTTCATGCCCCCGTTTCCTGTTTATCGCTCCCGCCCAAGCTGGTGAGGCGACAGGCGAGGTGCACACCCCAAACACTCATACTGTGGCCAACCACTAGGGGGCTCCACTCACACGCAGATGACAGGATGTTTTATTTTAAAAAATATGTAGAAAAAAATTACATATGCAAAATGTATTGTTTTATCAGAGCTTAAAAGTATGCTGTTCAAAGTGTTTAGCATATATATTTTTTCTGTTGTTTATGTGCAATGCCATAATAAATGTATGTTTATACTGTTTAAAAACAGCCTCTGTTTTACACAATGTGGTGGGTTGCCAGTTGGGCTTGTTTTCATAGAGCTGGTTGCTTGTTTCTGTCGCGAGATCTAGCAACACTGGTTTCTCCTCTGCGTCTCCTGCCTTAGCAGGACGCACACAGGTGGAGGAGGTGGAGACACCTCTGTGTTTCTCACTCGCCAGCTTAATGAATTTAGTGCGGGCAGTTGTTGACCAGGAGGCTTAGGATCATAGACATTTATACATGGTTAGGAGGATGCTTGAAAGAAGTGGAGCACTACGTCTGTAGCATCTGAGCTTAGCATTAAGCTAAGAGTGTGATGCTGTAAGACGCTGTGCGTTCAGGTGCATTAAAGTTGACATTTCTTTAGAACCCCACACCATATTGTCCTCAACCTTCATGAGAAACATCCTTTAGATGAGTAGTGTTGAACACAAGTAAACAATTCTAGTGGAGAAGTTTTTATTTCTCTATAAAGAGAAATAGTGTTGATCTGAGGCTGTTTGTTAAAGTGCATTAAAGTTGACTAGTACACTAGTATACGCTTTTTTGCACACTGGTGTGTGCAAGGCAGGAGACACACACACACATATTACTAATACTTCTGACGCCAATGGGTTGGTCCTACAGTTTTGAGCTGCCATGCAAACTAAAATGTGGACAGCATTGCTTTCTTATGGAGAGATATTATCAGATGAGAAAGCAGAGAATGCACAGCCTGAGGGCTCAAACTAATAAACTCTAAACTGATGGAAAAATATGATTCCATTGTCTCGTCTGCAGTTTGCTCAGTGACAGCTGGTGCTGATTCTTCTTGTATCAGATTCATGTAATGAGCTGGCTCAGGTTGGCAGTCATGAAGGCAAACGATCTAAACACATCGTACGTCTTCCTTCACGACACATGGACTTTACTGCTGGTCTATTCTTGGTCCTGTTCACGCTATCAATATTTCTAAAAACTGACTTTTCCGCTGTTTGCACCTCCTATCCACACAAATAATTTTGCACTTACCAAATAGAAGATTTTAAAAACTCAGTTTTTGGTGCATCCATGTAAAGTTGAAACCCAGAAACAATGATGGAGCTGCCGATTTCGTTCTCACCCACAGTCACTCTGTGCCCAAACACAAACAACATTGAAGCTGTTCTTTTTGATTTTTTTATGGTTTTTTTTTTCTGTATCTTGGTTTGGTCATCGGTAAACTTTGTTTGCTGAAAAGGTTATCAAGAAGAAATGAAATAGTAAAAAAATACTATTTATGCATGAGCATGCATCAGGATAGTAAAAAAATTAATTTTGCCAAGCTAAGCATGATATCTTTTATCTCTACTGTGATGTGGTTAAGTTTACTTTTTAAACTAATTGCACAACAAGGATAGTTGAGCATTTTTGTTAAAATCATATGGATGAATAATAGCGTGTGTGTGTGTTTTGTTTAAGTTAGAGGCAAACTTTGTTGTTTATACACACCATCTTTTACCATTCATCACTTTTGTCATGGTGGGACCCAGTCCTAAAGATTGTTTATTTAATGACATGCAGAAATCAAAATGTTCAACCTCCAACTGGGAAAAAATTAAAAGGAACTTGAGATTTGACTGTTAACAGCAACGCCAAAAACAAGACAGTTTTATGTCTCTCCTCCAAAAAGAGATCGCAACACGACTTGAATTTGATGGAGATAAAGGTTGAGAATCCAAACGCTTCTCCCCTGAGCTCGTCCTGTGATGATCCAATCCCCTGAAAACCCGAGAAGCTCACTAAATAAGAAATCTCCAAATCCAGGGCAGCCTAAGTTACTTTTTTATTTAATCCTTAATTTCAGACACTCAAGCATACTGTATGTTGTCAAGCACAGAAAAAGAGATTTTTGAAATAATAGGTTCTATAAGTTTGGCCTTATTTTTCCTCCAGTCCAATCCAACTTTATTTTTTAAAACACTTTAAACTATCATGCAGATCCCAAAGTGCTCTACACAGCAGATAAATTAAAACCTAAAACTACAAACAAATAATAAAAGTTATCAAATCAGGTAAAAGACAATAAAACCACAGCATATAACTGTTTCAGAGTGTGAATCGCCAAAGACAAAAGCAGGTTTTAAGTAGAGATTAAAATCAAACGGCTAAGAAGCCTGTTTAATGTGAAGCAGAATCTCATTTCTTAAATGACAATAAGCATCTCTGTTTTTTTATTCTTGCAGCTGTAGAACTGATTCAGAATGTAGAAGAGTCAAGATGCATCATTTTTCCACCTATTGCTGTGAAACCGTCTGCAACGTTATCTGTGACTGACGCAATAAGACACCTCCCAGGCTAAGATGCTGCAATGCAACCATATTAAATCCACTGTTTATTTGAGTTTGAGAGCATTTATTGCAAATTATTATGTTATTGTTCAGTTTAAAGGACAGGAAAAAGAATCAACATGCCAACATTTGTGTGTGCGTGTGTGTTGTTTCTGTCTTGCAAATGACAGAATAGTTTGCATCACTACCACAGAGAAGCAGAGGGGATGTGGTGTTTTATGTATGAGATGATCGATACGTGGATTCTACCTGCTGAGGTAACAGGACAGGGCAGGACAGTAAGAGTACGACGATGCCAGAGTACACTTTTTGACATGTCAGTTACTCAGCTGAGTCCTGAAACTGGCCATTTTTATTTAACAAAATTGATATAACTGTGGTGAAAAACAAACTCTGGTTAGAATTTCCTACAAATTGTATATGAGGTTTTTATGCGTCTTAGGTATTCTGATCAAAACTGCTCTATGCTTCTCTGTTTTATTAATTTAGAAATTCAGTTTTAAGCTTATTTGACTTAAAAACAGTGTTTTTTTTAATAACACTTGGCGGTTCAAACCTAAAATATTTGTTTATTTTAATAAATGTTCAGTGGAAATGCAGGTGGTTAAACAGTAGAACACTCCAAGACTCGAAAATAACACATTAGATGCTTTTTGGCTTCATGACTGAATCCAAAGGTTAAACAATTTCCTCAATTTATTAGTCATTTTAATAATTGGGTATTGATTTTTTTTCATAAGAAATGAATCAACTTTAACAGGATGTGAGTAAATTATTCATGTTGAACTTAAAAATGCTCCTTCTGTGCAACCAAGTACAACAGCAAAACATTATTTATTTCAGCCATGGCTCCTTTTTTTTTTTCTTAGAGAATATTTTCACATTATAAATCTATTAACAGTTAACGACTTAACTAAAAAAACAAACAATAATGTATAAACTTTAGAGTATTGCATGCATTTTTGTCCTCCATATTATCATGTTCTCTTCACTCTTCCATTTGCAGACGTCTATAAAGCAACTTTTCTAGTAAACTTAACCATCATTTAAGGTGTAAACCCCCTAAAAGTTTTGGTTTTCAGCAGCAGGTGCACTTTCTGCTTTCAGCTCCGATGAAGGTGCCCACCAGCTGAAGCCAGTCTCAGCACTGCAGCATCAGTGTTCTTCAGTCCGGCCTGAACTTCTCATTACTGCCACGAAGCTTTGTTTACGAGCTAAACCACTTACCGCACCGTGTCAAACCTTAGCCAAAAGGCCATGTTTCACATTCCAGCTCATTATGCTGCAGCTGCACAGTGTCAACTAGATATGCCCCAACCTCATTCAGAGCGCATTCTTTGTGTTAAAAGTGTTTATTTGTGGTCTGAGCTTGTGTATGGATATCTATGTTTAAGGTGAAAAATATTTCCTTTGTTTGCGCACCAGTGTTTCTTTGTGTTTGTGTCCTTATCTTACTTATTATGATGCCGCCTTGCTTCAAGTTGGTGCATTTTTACGCAATCTGCTTAACACTGTGTGATCTCAGCTTCAGTATTTGTTTGTCCTCTTTATTTGCAGTTAGATTGGTATTGCTTTTTTTTTACTGAACCATCCCTCCAATGCATTTATATTTGAATAGTAGTTGAAACCATAGTCTTGCATTTTGACTGTGGTGACGGTAATCACTGGAATAATTTTTCATTTCTTTGTGATGCAATTGGTGGTAACAGTCTTCTGTTTCTTTGTGTTTGTCAATCAGAGAGCCAGCTGCTCCCTGGGAATAACTTCACCACCGAGTGTAACATTCCTGGAAACTTCATGTGTGGAGATGGGAAGTGCATCCCAGGCGGCTGGCAGTGTAACGGATCTCCTGACTGCTTTGACAAGAGCGATGAGAAGGACTGTCGTAAGTTCAAGTTTCGACGCCAATAATGAACCGTGTTTTCAGTCCAGCAGCTCTCCCGTAAAGTCATAAAGCCAGGTTACCTGTTTAGATTTATATGTTCTCTCAACTCTTGAACTCTTCTTCCTACAGTGTTACCTTCTTATTGCTTCTCTTTTTCCTGTCCGCAGAGCCATAAGGGCTGGGAAACTTTCATTCATTAACTCTTCTTTCCCTCAGCATTCCTTCCTCACCATCGTCCCCTTAGACCAGTTTAGTCCCATTGCGAAACTTAATACCATCAAAGCAAAGGCAATGCTTCTTTGTAAAGGGAGAGTGACGCATGAAGGAGTCTACTGTAGTAGTTTGGTTTTTAAACGTCACGTGTCATTGATCTCTCTGGTCTGCTCCTCCTTTTCTTCCTCCCATTTCAGCCACAGTTCTACGCAAAGATGGGATCGCAGACGATGACTGACTTGAGTTTCTGGCACGATGAATGTAAACCTCAGTATATTCATAGCTCAGAATTTCTCATGCTCATATATTTACGCCTCCCAAGTTCCCTCGCAATTGATCTAATTTGATCTCATTTCTGGCTTTTGGTTTGTGATTTGTTTTCTAGAAGAAGCCACTTCTCGCAACGTTTTTATTAGATTTTTCTGACCAGGCTAACGCTCTCCTAACACAAATTCACATATGGCTTCCCCTCCATTCTGTCACTTCTCTTCATTTTTCCATCTCCCTTGAAGCAGTCTTTTTTCTCAGTGTTGTCTCTTGTTGGCAGCTCAGGGAGCAGGAAGACGACTCTTGACAATGTTGTCCCATAGCATTTAGGCACACACGCACATCCATAAAGCTAAACTTTGCGTGTAAAATCATTTTAATATGCAATGCCCTGATTATTTATGTACCTAGTTACGTTGATGCATGCATGGGGAATGTTTTCAGTAAACCAATCCTTTAGTTTACCTTTCCTCTTGACGTCCATGTTGCATTTATACACTACTTACCCAGGTGGATTCTGTGCCCCAGATTCTCTTCACTCAGTGACCTTAAACTGCCAACAACTTCCAGACCTGGAAAAAACAACAACATTGTTTAGATGCATTAAGTTGGTATGTTTTAATTGTACATACAGTAAATTATGTTCAATATCAAATATTTGCACTTAAACCAAAAAATATATATATTTTTTTTTACCACAGCTGATTGTACATGTATACCATCTACTCCCAAAGATACAGGTTGTCTCAAGGCATCATACTCAGCCTTCCTCGGCTGTCAGGGGACTATTTGTGCTTGTTGTAGACGTCTACATTATCTCTTCTGGCGTAAGTGGGCCTTATTATCCACAAATAGATGGCTAGTTGTCAGGCGGCTGCTGCACAAAAATGCTCTGACTCCGTTTGGGGCTCTGCCGAGACAGATGGACCGACAGACAAACGGAAAGATGGGGGTAAAAGGGAAGTAAAAGAAGAAGAGGGACTCATTATGGCGGTTTCAGCAGGAGTTCTGTCAGGATATGTATTATCTAAGGACAACACAACATCTAGAAACTTTTAAGGCGGCAGCTCCGATTTTTCTGCAGGCAGAATCATAATTAGTCACCCCCTGCTGGAAAAACACACACATAAACTCCAGATTCTATATTTATTTAACAGAAAGGGATGGATGGTTTGCTCATGTGAATGACAGTTTGTTGACTTAGCTTACTCGCCTTCTGTCCGTGAGCTACATGAACAGTGTGTTCTTGTGTAGACTTCTCAACAAAAATCACCTAAATTTGCAGTCAGATACACTTTTCTTGGTCTCCTGTCACCACATATTGCATAGGATGCCATGTGTCATGTCTCTGCTGTCCTCTCCTATCACAGCCGTTGTTAAAAAGGTTACGATGTGTTGACCTCTACCAGGTATTACATTTCTTCCCATATGTAATATGAGCAATTTGCTCTTGCAGATAACTTTCGAGAAGTACATGCTTTAATTCTTCATCAAAGTGAATGTTTAGATTAGTATTTTTGCTTGTTTGCTTGCAAATTTTAGGAACATTGGATCTAAGTTTCTTTAAATTGTAGGCATGAAATAGCCATGCTTATGCATGCATGCATAATTACATCTTTTGTGCTTGTCATCATTAAAAAATATATATCTCTGGAACATTTTTCTCCCCCTGATCTGTGGGTAATTTTTAGCATGTGCATGTGCACCAGCAGACAGCTGTGGTAGATTCCCTTTAAGCCCATTAGTCAACAGATTGTGCTGATATGGATGTCTCTGATCCAAGGAAAAACCATGGTGCCTGAACTAAAGGTCAAATGTGGCAGTATCTCCCTGGCTCATTAACGCAAATGTTTTTCTAAACCAAGCAGCTGATAGGGAGCAAAATATGACTTTGTAGCAGTTTTGATTCTTGCACTGTGTATTCTTACTGTAGTGAACCTGGTCTGACCCTTATCTGACCTCAAATCTACCAGATGGACAGAGACTGTTATTTTCATTAATCTGAATAAGTCTGGGCCATCTGATGACTTTCTTTCTTGAATTAATCAAGCAGAAAAGACAATTCTTTATAATCATTACTGTCTTACAAATGTTTTGATAATCAAATTGTGTTAGTTCACTCAATGCTTCACAGGTTGAAAAGAACTACTCATTTTTATTTTACATAAACAGTAAGTAATGATTTTTATTCCTCATTCAGAGAAGAAATCACCTGAATATGCATTTCTTGATTTTCTGTCTGAAATGAGTCAAGTCGTAAGTATGTGAAAGGTTGGTTTTCGGTCAACTAAAATGTTTACTGAAGAAGAAATGTCATGTTTTACTATTTGAAAAGATTACCAAGTGTGAGACTCCACGAAGTCTGGTCGACTGCAATAATCTTTTCTGTATGTTGAAAACAATCCTTGACTTTTGATAATAACTTACGTCAAAAAACCACTCCTCTTTCTGGTCCATCCACGAATCAGAAAGCTCTGAAGTAAACTCGGAAGTAAACTCATTTAAAATGTGACAACTTCCCGGTTCTATGAGTCGAGTCTAGAGGGCAGTCGGTTCCAAAGAGTGCAGTAGATTCCATGGAGAATGGAAAAGTTCTGAAGGAGTTCAGAAGAGAACTAGAGTTATGGAGAGTTTTGGAGTTGCCGAGAATCCAGAGACGTTTGGAATTATAATTTCTGTTTGAGCTAACCACGCACGACTCTCTAAGGATTTTAGCACTTCTCAACGGAGACGCTGATATCAGTTGAAAAGGATTCTTACTGAGGTGATCGATCATCAACAAGGTAAAACTTCTTCTTCGACCAAGTGTACCGTGGGCAAAGCTGAGATCTGACGGAGCGTGCAACTTCTGGTCAAACAGATTAAATTCCCTCACATAGTTCTCTGTAAGATAATCTCCTTTCATCTTAAACTCTTCTCTCTCACAAAATCAGTACAGATATTTTAGAAATATCTGAAGCAAAGTCCTCAAATCACCGCCGAGTGATTTGAAGTTCATTATTTGTGAAACTGTCTGTTATTATTTTCATATTTTGCCAAATTAATGTAAATGTTTGATGTTAAACTTTGATTCTGAAAATAAATGACTCCATTCATTTGATGGGTCAAAGATAAATAACGTCTCTCGTTACATTTTGTGTTAAATTCAATGCACGGCATTTACAGTCAGAAAAATGAAGAACTCGTGAAAAGTATGCATAAATATATATCCATATGTTTGTCATACAACAAGTGACACGTACCTCACGTGACTCACTACATTACAAAAGCACAGTAATATTAGTTTAATTCAAACTGTGTGTGCAGTTTGAAGGGGTCACACAAACTGGCACACACTCTTTCACATATTCATCAATCCTATAAGCAATGTAGTATTTTTACAAAAAGCATCCACCCACACAAGCTTTGGATGATATATTTTATGAAGATTTGTGTACTTGGCCTCAAAAAGTAAAATCCCTTTCTGCCTTCTTTTGTTGACCTTGACTCTATTTTTCAGTGTTATCAAAGAAGTGCAGAGGTTTGGAAGAAAATCATAAAAATCTATATCTCTCTTTATTTTTTATTCTCTTACTTTATTATTTATTGTGGATATCCCAGCCTGCTTTGCCTATGGCCAGGCTGCAAGGAATTGTCTGTTGAATGGTCAGGAATGCTAATTTACCGAGAAAAGGCAGGTGTTCTATCTTCCTCTCTAACCTGCTGCTCTCCTCTTGCTTGTTTGTTATTCTGGTTCCCTCTAGCACAAGGGTCAATTTGAGTCTTGTAAATATTTTTCCCAGGATTTTACAGCAATGGAAGACAGTCAAAATAAGTAAGGTCAGTCAGGTTGTAATAAAAGAGGTAGCATATTGCATTACTGTCCACAAGAGAGAGACTTAAGATTTCTAAGTTTCTTTTCATTTTGTTATGTTTTTAAAAGTTCAACTCCTACTTTGTTTCTGAAGAATTTCCCTTCGTTTTTGATTAAACCTCTTTAGACTTGGCATGTTGTCTACTCTAGAATATCTGTTTCCCGTTGACACAGCTTGAATTTTTCAGTGACGTCAAACCACTCGATTTGACTCTTCTCAATTCAGCTTTTCGTTTCTTTGTTTTCCTCTGCGGACAGTTTCTCTTCAGTGTGGAATCAGCGGTGTAACTTTTGCAGCAGCATGTAAAATTCACAATGCCAAAAAAATAAAATAAATAAATACATAAGCGTGTGTTTACTGTTGTAATTGATTTATCTGAGTTTGATAAGAAGGTTTAGCCCATTTGTGCAACGCCAAGCTAGAGTTGTATTCGGGCCTAAAAATCCGACCCAGCCCGGCCTGAGCCCATAGGCATTTTGTCTTAGCCCGATCCGACCCATAAACTGTAATTAGGGGCCCGAACCCAAAACACCCCCCCAGCACTTTTTTTTTTAATTAAGCTTTTACCGCTTTTGTAAGCAAATCAGTTTGACGTGATAATTTTTAAAACGTATTTCAAAGAAAGACATACGATTTCTTGTTTATTAACAAGTCACCAAATGGATA